TAAATTCCAGCTTTGAGCATATAACATCCTTCAACAATAACAACTCAGGTCATTCTATGATTATTATACACCCATAAAGCATAACACAACCCCTATCCAAAATTTCTTTTACTCGAGTCATCCTCGATCTCAACCCCCTGGAAGCCATAACTGATTCACCAGTATGCCTCAAACTCGAACCAACATAGCACATAACTGTGCAATTAACTGATCAATAGCAGACTCCCCCACTTGGCTCAAAGCCATAGATCAAACACACAAAACTCATAATGCTCGTACTCTATTACTGCCATAATACCATAGTGAGATTGAACTAAATCCTTCATAAGCTCGTGCAACACAAATCATCTATTACTTCCGATCATCTGCAAATCTCGCATTCACCCTTGTAACAGTCAAGAAAACTCTCACACGCGATCCGAACTCAATCTGCAGCACATATATTTTACTGGTAAAAGAGGTCTTCCAACAAACAACATAAGGATCACACAAACTTCAGAACACTTCGCAGGAGATAACCCACCTGCTTTACCTCAAACTAAGATCTCTGTATACCTTTCCACCATCATAAACATCACGCAATCACTTAATCTTCCTAAGTCTGAATTCATATCGTAACATGAAATATACTTCATTCCCCAACTAGACCACATGAAAAGATCCTTCACACACCCATAGCTCGGGGCTATACATCAAATCTAGATAGAAATCAAGCACCTAATAATTCTTTCTACCCTCAAACAGACCCTTCTCATCACATTTAAATCATATGAACACAACTCGCAGTCACATCAAACTCATCACATAGCCATCTAGTCATCACTTCGACTAATAGGGACACTACCGAACATATAAATCCAAAAACATGTGCTCACAAAATCAACACCTCAGTGTTCAAGCTACAAGCAAATCCCGGCCTTATGTCCTCCAGACTAGCCCAATATCAACACACAGAATTCACATCTCGCCCTTCGACCAGGGAATCACAAGCTGTCGATGCACAACTGATACCGAGCGCTTATGTGCGCACATGAATACGTGGAAAGAATTCAAGGAGTTAAGCTTCAAGATGAATCAATGACGCACGATAGGAATTGAAGAATGTGAAGTTTAATTCCTAAAGGTTCTGCAGCCTCTCGAAGATAAGTACAGACATCTTCGTACCGATCCGCGAGACTCTACTAAATACACTTATGACTTGTGAGACCTATGTAACCTAGGCTCTGACAGCAACTTGTCATGACCCAAAACCCGACCCGTCGTGATTGTGCCTATCGTGAAACTAGGCCAGCCTCAACTCAACAATCAACCCGATAATAATGAGTTTGAAAATATTTACGGAAGCTTTTAACAGTTAAAGAACTATTTGAAATATAAGAAATTCCAAGAATAAATACAATCCAACCCAAAACCAGGGTGTCGTTGAGTGCATGACGTCTAAGGAAGAATACATAGTCTCATATAATGTCTAAGGGAACAACTAAAGTACAACTGGAAAGTAAGGTGGAAAGCCAAGGCATGCGAACGCCATATAGGTACCTCCATAATCTTCTCAGTCAGAAGCCTCGATCAAACATCCGCCACTAGATCCAAAGTGCCTGAATCTGCATACGAGGTGCAGGGGGTAATGTGAGTACACCAACTCAGTAAGTAACAAGTCCAACCTTTGGACTGATAGGTAGTGAAGAACTCAACCTTCTCAAGGATAACAAAAATAATGTACAGAAACGTAGGCATGCTTTTAGTTAAATAAACAGCTCGAATAGTAAAACAGAGCAAGTATGAACAAGGTAAAGGAGTGTAGCTCTTCCACATCTACATGTCAATGCACATGCTGTATGAAGTGCACCATCCTGAGTGCCTCATATGCCCACAACCTCGTATGCTCATCCTCTCAATACTGTATATGGATCATACGGCCCAAGAAAGATCCATCCCAGAATATATATATCTCTGACAGCAATCACTCAATACTGAGGAAAGCCATTCCAGCCGACGGAGATGGTCCATCTCCAAACATAAATATTTCGGACAAGATCCATGTCTAGTGAAGATCCGTCCCTCAATATCATCAATTGTTCTCACTAGGGGTGTAAAGACTCTAGATGGGCTTCTCTCATTAGCCCAAATGCTATAACAAAGCCAACGTAGCCTTATTCAATATCTCACAGCGGCGTGCAGCCCGATCCCATACTGTCACTAAATATCAGGCTCTAGGCCTCACTCAGTCATCACTCTCCAGTCTGACACATACGGGCTCAAATGTCATGATACTAGCCCGAACAATGATATGTTGTTTCAAATAACAGTAATCGATATTGAGGCATGATATAATATGCATGAACAGAACTGACTATATAATATAAATAAAGTTAATGATATGACAGCAAGAAACGACCTCTCGGGTCTCAACAGTATTGACGTAAAGCCTTAACATGATAATTAGCATGATTTGTAGCTCATTAACTTAATCACATAATTACAACACGGATATCAGCAAGAAGTAATCACTAAATGGTGCCATGAAATGATCCAGGCCACAATTCTCACGGTGCACGCCCACAAGCCCATCACTTGGCATTTGATTCACCTCAATAGTAATCATAGAACATATAGTTCGGGGTTTCGAACCCTCAGAACCAAGTTTGGAAGCGTTACTTACCTCAAGCTAAGCCAAAGTCTAGCCCGCGATGCCCTCGCCTCTCGATTCGGCCTCCAAATGAACCATCTCTAACAAAAATCAGAACCATAACAACAATATATGCTAAGGGAACAAAGCCCAGGCGAAAATAATCAAATTACATAAAAAATCCCGAAATGGTCAAACCCGACCCCCGAGCCCACGCCTTGAAACCCGATAAAAATCACACTAATAGAATCGTTATCCTCCCACGAGTCTACACATACCAAATTCATCAAAATCCGATATCAAATGGTCCCTCAAATCTTCAAATCAAACTCTCCAATTTTCTTTCATTTTCCCCCAATTTTACACCCCAATTTCCAATTAAGATGATGAAAATCAAGACAAAATCATGGAATTTAACCAAAAATAAGTGAAGATCACTAAACTCAACCACTTTTCTGAAATTCCCTTCAACAATCGCCCAATTTCGTGGTCTCTAGCCCAAAATATGATAAATAGGTTCAAACCCTCGATTTTAATATTTAACACTGCTGCCCAGATTTAACCTTTGCAAATGCGGTAGATCCCTCGCGTTCGTGAAGCACAAATGCCTCTAAGCCAGAAATCCTTCTATGCAAATGCAATGACCCACTCGCAAATGCAAACCTTTAACAGCTCAACTATCGCGAACGCGACAGCCTCCTCGCGAACGCGATGAATACTCATATCAACCTTCGCGTTTGCATCCACACCTTCGCGAACGCGAAGAACAAAATTTACCATCTCAGAAAACACTCTTCGCGAACGCGAGGCCCTTTCGCGAACTCGATGAACAACCTGTATGGAACTGAAAACCAACAAAATCTGCTAACACTCAAAACCAAGAATTGATTCGTTAACCACCCGAAACTCACTCGAGGCCCTCAGGTCCTCAACCAAACATGCCAACACATTCCATAACATCATTCAATCTTTTTCCAACCTTCGGAACGCTCAAAACAACATTAAAACATCAAATCACCTTCGGATCTAAAGCCTAAGGATTTCAAAACTTCCAAATTCCAAATTCGATCAAAAAGTTTATCAAATCTTGTCCGAATGACCTGAAATTTTGCACACACATCCCAAATGACACAACGGACCTACTCCAACTTCCGGAATTACATTCCGTCCCTGATATCAAAATTTCCACTACCAACCGGAAAGCGCCAAAATTTCAATTTCGCTAATTCAAGGCTAAATCTACCACGGGCCTCCAAATTTCATTCCGAACATGCTCCTCAATCCCAAATCACCTCATGAAGCTATTTGAATCATAAAAATTCAAATTCTGAGATCGTTTACTCACAAGTTAACTTTCCGTTGACTTTTCCAACTAAAAAGCCAACTTAAGAGACTAAGTGTCTCATTCCTCTTCAAAACCTCTCCGAACCCAAACCAACCAACCCGTTACCACATAATACAGCTGAACAAGACATAAAGAAGTAGAAAAGGGGGGAAACGGGGCTGAAATTCATATAACGACCGGCCGGGTTGTTACATTGTGACACTTTAATTACAACTTGATTTCCTAAAATACATTCACTGGACTGGCTCAAGAAGAACACAACCCTGGTGCTCGAGTAAAGTGTACAAAATGTAGTTCTTCATTTGATGTGTAAAAGGATGATATTAGAAGTCTAAACAAACTTCGTTAATCATAAAAATCTCAATACTCAACAAATATATAGTACTAAAAGTTGAAGGGTGGAACCATTGACATTTCACTACTAGAAAGTGGTTATCTTGCGACTACAAAAACGGTCAAAAAGTGGTCAGAAAATGCTAATTTCCGACTACATTCAGATCGAAAAGTCGTAGTTGCAAAATAGATGGTCTGAAATATTTTGCGACCGAATACGTCCGTAATTTGCGACTACAGTGGTCGGAAAGTCAAACTAAAAAAATGACTAACAAATATGATAAATTTTCCGAGAGATGCGGTCGCAAATAATTTAAATTAAATTTTAATTTGATATTAACTTTCCCACTACTTCAGTCGCAAACGGTATACATAATTATAATTATTATGTAATTTTATTTGAGTTTTCCCACTATTGTGGTCGCAATTCTAATTTAAAAATATTTATTTATTTATATTTGTGACTACCGTGGTCACAAATCTAATTTAAAATTATTTATTTATTTATATTTCTGACTACAGTAGTCGAAGATGTTCCTGAATTTAGAATATTTTGATGCATTTTGCGACTACTATAGTCGGAAAATTGGGACTTTTTTGTCAAATTCTAGCTCTTTTAAAGCAGTACCAACTGCCAATTCAAATATACAACAACCAATTATTCCACCATGCCAACCAATTATTACACAATGCTAACCAATAAATCCACCATTCCAACTAATCAAATCCATAAAATGCAAAACATAAATATTGGTAACTAAAAGATCCAAAAAGAACTAAACATTCTAGCACCATTCAATCTAGTCTAAAACATTACAATCATAGGTGTAAATATTACCAAGTCTAAACATCCAACTACAACAAATAATAATGTCTCAAACATCATAACCATAACAAACTAAAACTCATTATCCCCACCATCCTCGCCATTCAAAGGACCAAATGGACGTCCGCTCATAAATTTCTTCACTAGAGATCTTCTTTTCGTTCCTCCAACTATTCAACTTCTTTTCGTAGTGCTTCCACCTCTTCGTGATCTTGCGAATGACTCGCATCACCAGACAACAATGTCATAAAACGACCTACGGAATATTGTGATCCAAGACCGTAGGTTCTACCTTTATTTGCGCCACAACTACCTGCGACCATATTATAGCTACATCATTGAGTGATACTTGGGTTGAGCTACCATCCTCGGAATCGGGTTGACTTTGATGCCATTCCTTAAAAAGTTGTTGATAGGCTTCCTGAAATCAACATGACACAACAAAATCATAGGTGTAAAATGAAGTAAATAGAGGAAGGAAAAAGGTATATACAAGTCCACAGAAAAATTCACAAAGCTACTAGTATGCTTGTCATCAAAATCTCTGGCATCCCTGTTTGAAAGTAAATTATTTCTCAAAATCTTAGAATTAGCACATACAACAGTAAAACAAACACACAGCACCAACGTCAGAATGGTAACAACAATGAAATAGAATGAGCATCGACCAAAGGCATCACCTCCAGGTAACATTTTAAACATCAATTGCTCAGCAAAACAGATCCATTAGAGCAATTTATGGCTTGATATGAGTTTTATTTGACTGCAGCCATTAAATGATATAGTCTCAATAGTTTCTGATCTATAAAACAAACACGTACTGGTAAAAAAAATATTTAAAATTGGCTGTTGATTATGACAAAAACTCAGGAGAAACATCTAAAGTCTTATAGAATATAGGGTACCCATCATCATTTTTGAAAAGGGTTAATAAGAATGTATAAACTTGGAACGAGGGGATAGGTTCAAGCAACCACCTAAATTTATTTTTACATAGCAAAAAACACAACAGAACAAGTCTTCAAATTGCAGTAATGTCTCATGTCTATGGATTTAAATAACGAGTCTATGGCTTGAGAGCCAAAGCGAGTTCAAACATGGTATTTAAAATGTAGTTCAAACTTATTATCTCACATGCTATATATAGTGCTAAAAAGAAAACTAACTGAGAATCTGAATCAGTAATGTCTATATTCATATTTTGACTAAAGGATTTGATTGTGCTTTCTAATATTGTCCCTTTGGCCTTTGCCAAACACTTTAACCATTTACCTCAACAAGGCAATTGCCAAAAGACAAAAGTTAACAAGGGGGAGGAAGAAGAAAATTGCAATTAATCCACTGTTCTAAGCTTTGTTTCCTAAAATTTGACATCACAATGAACTACAATATATAATCAAAGCGCTTCCTAACATGATTTACATGGTACACTAATATTCTTTTTTCTTTAATAAAGTGGTACATTATTTAAATTCATTGATTACTAATAGTTTAACTCACAAGAGTTTCTTGTGCTAATCTTGTACGAATCATTAACCTTAGTCATTAAACATTGTCTTTCATAGAGGTTTAAACAGAAACCTTGTGGTTCGATCGGTTTAATTATTTTTTAGAGATTCATTAACACCCTTAGCTTCAAGTTATTGCAATCCATCATGATTTCTAAGCAAATATCAGAGTATAGCAATAAGCACGCCTAAAGGATATCAGATGAGGTTGCCACATAATATAACAGAGTAAAAGAGCAATGACGATATTGAATGTCAAAACATCCATAACATTCTAACTTGAAACAACTGCACCTAAAAAAGCAGAATCTGCATGGACCAAACAAAATGAAGCTTAACAAAATTCCAAAGATTTTAACTCATCTTACAGCTACTTGTCAAAGAAAAAGGGAAAAATATATGGGCAAAAGCAGGCCAGAGCTGAACTTTTTGACAACAAATAGACTGAAATCAGGAGATTTTTTTCTCCAAATTAAGTTCAAAACTAATGAGCAAAGAAGTATAAGTCAACAGCCAAAAACGAGAGAACCCAAGAGAACAACTCATGATAGAATTTCGTCTAACCTAATTTTCTCAATAATATGACACACTTATGTATCCAGAATAGCTCAACCAACTAGCTTGAGAAATAGCTAGTTCATAAAGCTGAGTGACCACTACTAATGACTCTTTTTTACCCTACAAACAATGTTAGATCACATTTGACACCTTGATAGCGCAGTAAATGCAGGTATACCTGCATATATCAAATAAGATATTTTCTGCAAGCCTACTTATATGATACGTAATTACACCTCACAACTGAAATCGGGATCTTATGCTAACAACACATTTTCAATGTAGCCTTGAAATTGTGATCTTATGATAACAACAATAAAGTTGCAATGTAGCCCCCTTGGCCTGCTTAGAAAAGCAGGGAAATTCTTTTAAATATTAAATGAAAACTTACTTTGTTTTATCTTCATCCCATCGCTGATTAAAAAAAAAATTTATTCTGACATAAACTAAAAGCAAAGTGATTAGCACTATCAAAAAGAAGTTGCTCCAGAACAATTCAATCTACAAAATACTAACCTATCCAAATATTGGACCAAATGCATACAAAAACATACTTGTAGTTGATAAAACGAAGTATCAGGCAATTGTGGGAGCAANTATATAAGAGCATGTTTGAATCTTCTTACAAAATGTTCAAGGAAAATAGAAATCCAACCACTATAAAGCTTGTATCGACAACATAAATCCTTTTAAAAAGTGAAATGAAAGCACTATCATCTATGTGAAGGAACCTTCTTCTTTATCGCCCCATCCCCTTTGGGAAAAAATTAAAATTAGTGTCAAGTAAACGAAACTAAGTGAATCATTACAATGAGGAGATTAGAGAATCTAGTTCAAAACGAGGCCAAATTTGAGACTATATACATATTCAGGATGCGTTCAGTGGGGAGATTAATATTGCTAAGTGCCAACCGATTATGATCCTCCAATTTCAGATGAACAAACAGTAAGATGGAAAAATTAAACAGAAAAGGGAAAAAAACTCACTTGTACGAGAAGAAAGAGAGGGAGCTGAGTGATTAGTGATTTACCTTCAAAAATTTGAGAAAATAGGGATCGGTCGAGCAGAGAGAAGGGTTATCGGTCGAGCAGAGAGAGTGAGAGAGAAAGAGGAAATTGGGGAAATAGGGTTTGGGCATGAAATATTAGATTAAGGTTAGTGACTATAGTAGTCGCAACCCCGCTTAAATTTCGTTTATCATTTTAATTATAATTTTGCGACGACACAATTGCTTAGTGGGTCAACATAAATTTTTGACTTTTTAATGGCCGATCGAATCAGTCGCAAAAGTCAAGGCGGGAAATTGGCGCGCTGTTTTCCCACTACCTTTGACGGAATAATAGTCGTTTTTCTTTTTTAAAAATAAGTAATAAAAATTTGATCATTTTCCGACTACTGCGGTCGCAAAAGTAGTCCCATTAGCGACTGCTTCATTTTCAGTCAGAAAATTCGGTCACAATTTGATGTTTTTCTAGTAGTATTGTGTGACTATAAAAACTTCTCATTAAAGGCAATGTGAGTAAAATAAAAAATTTAAAGTTAAATTATTTCTAAATATAGAAACGTGTCAATCTTTTTTGAACGAACTAATAAAGAAAATATGTCATTTAAATTGAAATGGAGGAAGTATAAAATATAAATGCATTGTGGGCACTGATTTCAATACTGTTATAAGATGTGGAAGCTGAATGAAGCATCTCATTCATTTAAGAGAGGAGAAGAAATGAAAGGTTAATACTTGAAAGTGGGGGAAAGAAATGCGCGGGAAGATAAGGAGGGGACCAAAATAACAAGCAATTTTCTGTCCTGTAAAAAAAGTACTTAAATTCATGCAGGCCCCTTTATTTTGATCTCGTAGCTGGTCCTAAAAAAGCTCAGAGTCAGTGTTTTTTCTACGAAGTTTTGTGCTGTGGCCAGTGGGGGTCCAGCCAATGGTGAGTTCCTTTTTTTAGGAGTTATTAACGCACAAACTACGACGTACTGATCTATATATGAATGTGGTAGCTCCTAAGAAAGTTGTAGGGGCTAGGTGGCCCCTAATACTTGTTTATTGTGTAGGTTAATATTTGAGTTACACAGCTACTTTTTTTTTAAACTGTAAATCTTAAAGGAAACTAAAATCGGTAACCAAAAAAGTTCAACAATATTTTCCTAAAGTCTTCTCGAGGATTTGAAGTTTATCTACTTTTACGGCGATTCAAGTTAAGAACAGGGTTTACAGTCAAATATTTATTAATATTTAATTAAATTTTTTAAATATATATAAAATTTGGACAAAAGCTATTGGGTTTTCGGTAACCGCATCGTAGGCTCTAGATCCACCACTAATTTACATATTACACAAAATAAAAAATATTAGAAAATGCATAAATGCAATCTCAGTAAATATAAGTAGGCTACTATATACATAAAATTGTCATGTAATTGAGTGTAGCTAATTTACATTACTCATATTCTAGTAGCACGAACGTTCATAAAAAATAAAAATAAAAACTCAATTTTCGGCTCAACCAAATATCTAATGTCTTTCACCATTTGATACATTATGGTTCTTTATTTTTAAGTTGGTAAAAAATGAATAATATTTTTGTATGAGGTAAAATATGTTCATATTTAATGATCGCATAAGAAAATGACACGTGTGGGATTATACTGGGTAAGGGTAGGGGTAAGGTCTGCGTACATATTACCCTCCCCAGACCCCACTTGTGGGATTATACTGGGTTGTTGTTGTTGTTGTTGTTGTTGTTGTATAAGAAAATGACACGTGGGATCGAAGGCAGAATATAGCTAAACCCGAAGGCAATGATCTCGCTTGTCACCGAAGAGAATGATACTCATAACGACAAAATTAATGTCGCCTTCCGGTAATATCCAATGAAGAAAATTCTATAGCATTAAGTGCATGATACGATATAGTGAATATGACATTCACTGCCCAATGTTATACATCCTTCAATGGCCTTCATAATTGTCATTAAAGATGAGCTTAATCCTAGGAACTTGTTCCCTAGGTGCAACTATAAATAGTGAGCTCCACTATCATTGTAAGGAGATACGAATTTGATGACAAACATACACTATATTCTATCAAAAGCTCAATAACATTTTATTTTCTTACTTATTTATATTGTTCTTATTGCTCCCGGTAGCTCAGCGCCCTGAGCCATGATACCTGCCGTCTATTTCAATTTTTAAGGCTAAGTCTTATATTTCTGTTTAATTCATCTATTATTTTTGGATCAAACTAATTCATTTATCTATAAAACACGTATAAATTTAATTGTACCTTTTTACTGGTAAACAACTTTAAGATGCACCACGTTGATATTATGCAAGATGGAACTATGCGGTCGTAGTAGTTATGAACATCTCTTAACAAGGAAGTGGAGTTTTCTCTCTCAAGATGAATTCCCAATCCTATGAAACTCCAAATAAAATACCACCCAAACCTCTAGACATTGATCTCAATAAGCCCATACAAAACAGTCTTGAGAAAAATTGATCTCAATAAGTCCATACACAATAGTCTAGAGAAAAAATCATCCTTTAAATATATGCTAACAACCTCTAATCCAATGATCTTTGCATCAACTGTAAATCAGTCTGACATGGAGCTGCCAGAAACTGCCTCAGAAGAAGGAACGATTGAGCATTGAATTAAATCTAACATACGAGGCATTAAAATTATCTAATTAATAGAGGAAGATAGAAAACGAATTTATGAGCCCTAGAAAAATTCTATCATTGTGAAGCTAGTGGGAAAACGTATGTTACACCACTACTTAAAGAAGAAAATTCAAGAATTATGGCAGCCAACGGAGGACTTCTCACTGATTGATCTTGGAGAAGATTATTACATAATTAAATTCAAAAAGAAAATATGGAAAAAGTTATACATAATGGGCCTTGGTTCATCAATGATCACTTTCTTTCTATTACAAGATGGAAACCAAATTTTGTGGCCACAAAAGATAAATTAATTGCATCTGCGGTATGGATTAGGCTTCCTCAATTGCCTACAGAATTTTATGATGGCAAAATCCTAGAAAAAATTGGGAATGCAATTGAATGCCTACTAAAAATTGATATTTGTACATCAACCACGCTAAGAGGCCGTTATGCAAGGTTTTGTGTGGAACTTCCACTAGAAATCCCAGTCCAATCCTTCTTATATGTTGGACATCACAAACAATACATCCATTATGAGGGAGAAAACTTCCTTTGCAAAAATTGTGGAAGACTTGGCCACACATTAAGACAATGTATTTATATTCAACAGAACAACAAGGTCAGTAGAGAACCAGCCAAGGAGCAACCAATAACAAAAGTGGAAAACCCACAAGAGGAGTAAAAAAAAGTGTCTTTCATCAAAGGAAGAAAATAAGGTATAAGAGGTAATCAACAACCCAACAACAATGCAATCAAGAACACCAATGACCCAGATATCTCGGTTAAATTGTTCAATACTAATACTGATAAGTACTTAGATACTCAAATGTTACAATATAAATCTAAGGATCCTACAAATTTCCTAGAAAAAAATGGTGCAAGAAATCCGGCCACCATAGTTAAGGAACAAATCACCTTTCCAATAAAAAATCATTTCTCTCTCTTGAATAGAGAGCAAATGGTTTTAGAAAAAACCACTAATTAGAAAAAAATTAATAATACAAAAATAAATCGTAGCTATGCAAATGAACAAATGTCCGCTCCAAATGAGGACATTGGCATGCTAGAAAATAACGTGTCATCTACTAATAAAAGAAAAAATAGTGCCATGCAAAAAAATTCTCTAAATGACAAAACTAACCCCTCTACTAATAATAACCCTACCGTTCCTATTAGCCATCATAACCAACAAATTGGTAATAATCCATCTTTAACCAAAAATCATGAACAAAATCTTTCCTTAAGATTTGAAAAAATTCCACCCCAAAGCATGCCATCCAAATGGCAACGAAAGATGGCAACATTGCACAAATATCCTCCAACCTAGAACACGAAATGGATACTATATCCATGGAGGATCAACCTATAAAACAAAATATTGAGCACCCAAAAGCCATGCAATTGGCGGCCCCAAAATGTTTCAGGTTCCTTAAGTATACAACCCTCTATTCAAAATGCCAAGAATCCCATCAACCCTAAGAAAAAGACACAGACTCATTCAGCTTCTATGACAACACAGAGCTCAAGTTATGGAGAACTTACCACCCTTCCCTCCATAACAAGAAAACTCATAGATCATTTATGTCCAACCTCCACAAGCACATGACTACCAACCTGTCTCGTGGATGGAAATGAGTCTTATGGAACATGCAGTCTCATTCAATCTCCAAATCAATGGTCAGGAGTCGATAGTCATACTACACAACATACAATACCTAGACCAGTTGGTAGCAGAGGGCATGAGGCTTGCGATGAACAATTATCTAAACAAAGTTTGGCTCAACAACATCCTCCAACTCCTAGCTCCTTCAGTGAACCCATAACTGGTGCATGCAATGAGAAACCAGTGGAATATGCCACCACATTTCAATCAAATCTACCCACAGAATGCTCTCCTAGACATGTCATTCTTCCCACTAGAAATGCTATCCCAACTCAATCCCATATTCATTCAATGGGAGAACCCATAGCAAGCCCAGAAGCAACCAATTCCTTTAATATACCAACAACCTCCACCACCACATCACTAAGCAGTTCAGGATCCAGAACCAGTAGAAGCAGAAATGGAGGAGGAAGAGGAACTCCTCAACATAGTCTTAGAATAATTCCTAGAGTTCTCAAATCTAGACGGGGTAAAAGTGTATCTCTTCATGAAGATGCAAGAGAAGAGACATATGCTCAATTTTCCACTAGCATTATACAAATTCTCGACGGACATCAGGCCACCTCAGGATCCAACAGTGGGAAACAGAACCATAATTATAGTTCCATCACTGAGAAGGAACCCAATCCTGGGGGATTGTGACGGAGAATGGGGAACTATCAAACTCAAATTTTAATATCTCTATGAATTTTTCAATAAATTTCATCATTTGGAACATAAGGGGTAGAAACAACGATAATTTCAGAAGAAATTTTAGAGAAATAATAGACACTCACAGGCCATGCATGTTAGCCTTGTTAAAGACTAGAATGGGAAACCATG